ATACCCGGTGCTCCGCCGCCACCTTAGAGAGCGCGTCGTATCGTTATCGGGTATCGTTATCGCCGGGCGTATCGGAGGTATCGAAACGATCTGCTAAAAACGCTCTGTTATCGTCTCGCTCTGTCGGGGACTGTTTTAGACTTCCTGGAGAGCGGAAACCCGCTTCATGCCATTTCAGACGTAACAGCTTGTCAAAAACTATGATTGCCAGGACCAAGATGGGCTTTTTTTTTAGTGGTTCTGTATACTTCACTTCAACTTAAGTCCAGACACAATCGAACGGCGTCAAAAAGCGCAAGTCATTAGGTCTTTTCTGTTTAGGACTGGTGTAGCGATGACAGAACACGTACAGAGATGCGACGAACGCCACGATGATGCTGCTTGATGGGTTCCAGCTCGTAGGTTGTGAAATACGCGATATAGAAGCCGGGTGTGTTTTCGCGCTTTTGCGCATGCGCGGCTTCTTCTATCCTCCTTCTTCGGGGCAGGTATCGTCCCGGCGTCCTGCGCGGTTCCGTTCGAGCGGCGTTAGCGTATACCCGTCGGGACGCTTGCATGCAGGCCGTGAGCGGTCCGCGAGAAAAAGCAGCGGCGACGCTGCCACGGGCCCTTTTCTGATTACAGTGCTTGTCACTCACTCGGCCCGAGGGGGCGTGGAGACACTGTCACACGCCCCCTTCTCTTGCGCCGCCGCTCGGGGACTTTGACGCCGTTCTCCTCTGCAACCTCCCTCCCTATTTCTTTTTTTCTCGTTATTTGGATCCAACCCCCGACGTTTCCTACCATGCCTTTTGTCTCAAATTGCCGTCCTGCTTTTTTATTTATTATTGTTATTATTATTCGTACTGCTTCTTCCCCGCTTCGGACATTCTTTTGTTGTTTCGCATGCACGCCGCTCTCGCCGGCGACTCTTGGATTCGTTTCGAGCGCTGCCGTTGCTTCAGTCGGATGCCGAGCTTCTTTTTATCTGTCTTTTCTTTTTCGCTTCAATCTTTTTTCTCGGTTGTTTCTATTGCAGGTCGCCACTGACGTTTTGAAGACAATGGGAAACAAGAAGATACAGAAAAAAAAAAAAACGAATGTAGAGGAATAAAAGCCGCCTTCAAACTGAGCGTGACGTGACGGACGCTTGACAGGTAGCCATCGGGGGCTCAGCGGGGAGCGTTGCAGCAGAAACGAGGTAGAGGTAGATACGACGCTGGATACGCAGACGTGTACCTGCCGGCTTATACGTGCGCGTACCGAGGCCAAGGGGCTGACGAAGTTCGGGGAATCACGTATGCAGAGCCTGGGACAGACTTGTGCGCTACTCGTTAGGAGTGATCGAACGACTCGTAATCGATCACTTCATAAAATGGCTTCGTAATCGTTAGATTGCTTTTATTGGAAAGTAATGGCGAGAGTAATTTGATTTCTTTTGGAACTTCTAAAGTTACTCGTAACTATCAATATGTTTCCTTCTCCTTCCTAAGGACGCCCGTGGTGTCTAGAAGTTTCCTACTGAGGAACGAAGTACAAAGATTCCATACTAATTATCACCCGTAAATCGTACAAAAAAAAAAAAAAAGAGTCCGGCTTTTTACGGAGCAGTACTAATTTCTCCCCCTTATGTAGAGAATTAAACTATAGGTAGGTGCATTTCAATCAGATATATGTTATCTTATCAAGACTTTTCAAACGCCAAAACCGTCGCTTCTCCCTCCTACAACCATATCTTGTAAGAACTACTTCGCTTTGCGTATGAACAGTAAGCAAAACGTCATTCTTTTTTTTTTTTTTATCGTGAGGAGAAAACGGGTATAGTCTCCGAGAGGAGGATGGTCCATCGAAATTGGTGGAATGAGAATACGAGTAACTTGTAATTCAGTGGTTGTAATTGAATAATGGACGGTACGAAAGGTACGTTGCCAAACCGGCAGAAAAATCTGTTTCAAAATACCGAGGTATGCGAAGAGGTGACTGAATTAACCTTCCTCTCAAATAATGAAGTAATCTAACCGAATACGTCTTAGTCAAGAGTAATTGTAATTAATTCTTTTTTTTTTCTTTTTTTAACGTGTACACCACTAATCTGGACACTGATCTCCAACGCGCTATCTTTTCTTTTAATGAGACAGCTACGCTTTTCTTTTAATGAGACAGCATTTAAAGGCCAGCAATCCCTGATATCGTGTGGCGTCCGTTCAAAAGCGCCTCGATTGCTAAACGTGGCGATAAAATACCTGAATTGATTTTCCACGCTAAATCTAGCGAGAAAGATGAAGTGATATGGCGGTTATAGACCAGTGTCTGCTCTGTTCCCTGGGCGCCGCCATGTTTGCTTGTGCTGAAAGTGGGGAACTGCGATTTTCGCAAGACTCCGTTTTTTTTTTTTGTAATCTTTGCACGTATTGTATTGCAAGGACGTCAGAAATGCATAGTCAGGAAGCTCCAAGAACAACAGCGATGCCGAGAGTGCCGTAAAAGCAAAAATCTCGTTTTATGCGCAGCCCTTCTTTTCACAAGAGCCTGCGTTTGAGGTTATTATTTCCTATGTTTATCACTGGGGGCTAGACGTTTCAGACACTGCTGTATACACACCAATAGAATTTATCCGCTAAAATCAGCGGGAAACATTGAATCGGGGTAGAGGTGTACGAGAATTCAATTTCCCCGCTACATTCGGTGGAAATACAAACTGGTATATAGACCAACACGCGGCCTTGACGTCACGCAACTGCGGTGGCGCTGTTGACGGCACGGCGCATGCGCAGACGTCTCACTTCACGCAAATTCGGTTTGTGCGCACGCGCAGTGCCCGCACCTGGTGTGGGCAAACTCGGGCTTGCTTCTAAACAGCGTGTCGGTCTATAGAGTATTTGAGTATAGCTTTATATAAGTATACAACATAAAGCCAGGGTCACACTGCTCACACGTCATACAAAAGACAGTGTGCAAACACGAATCACCGCAATGTCCGTGGTTCGAATGCAGCGTGCCAAGTTTTCTCCTCCTACTCATCGCCATGCGGCATTCGAAACTACGATCTCGTTGCGCCTCGCGTTCGAATCTGTAACCAGACTGTCTTTTGTGCGATGTATAATCAGTGTGAACCTGGCTCTATAGGTTTACAAGTATACGTCGATCGGTAACGAGGCACGGGCCAGGGAGACGCTACTCCCCTTATGGGAGTTCGCGCGCTCGACAGGAGTGCACCGCCGAATGTAAACTTTTCCTCCCCATGTTCCCCTTTTCCCAATGAGGCCATGGCGCGACCCTGTTGAAGATAAAGTTAATCACCATCATCATTATCATCCTCGTGGAAGGATCAGCGCAAAAGCGCTGCCGCGCCGAGTCAGAGCAGGAGCGCCGAGTGAGATGGAAAAATATCGCAAAGGCTATGGCTGCATTTTATCTCTTTGGTGGAAGCGAGAAAAGGCACACTTTCATTTTTTTTTCGTGAAATCGTTTTACATGAGAACATACCACGTACATAGACGACGTAACAAGAAACTTGTAAACAAGTGCAAGCTGCTCACAATGTGGTTTCGCTTCTTGGCAACAACAGCTGCCTTACTAACCTAGCCTAAGCTAACCTAACCCGAAGCACCACGTAGGCGCATGAATTCAACGCTCGTCGAATAAATCTTCGACGCGCGTTGCCACTTGTAACAAAAATCCACGTAATTTAGAGGGGAAAAAAACCATCATGGGCGTGCAAAGCAGACAGGACGAGAACAGGGAAGCTAACGCCAAACTTCTGCTGTCACTTTTTTTCTTTGTTTTTTAGTTTGTTCAAAAACACGGCGTTAGGAGGATAAAAAAAAAATACCGCCACCGCCACGACCAGAACAAGAGACACCTCTGGACGAAGTACAAAGGCCGAAGCAACGTTGCAAGTCTGACACACTGACAGCCTAATAGGGGGGACGGAACAGCCCTGTCACACGACGCGTCACTTGTTTGTTACCTGTCCTTTTTTGTTTCGTTTGTTTTGTTCAGAGTATAGGTTCTGACGTGTACAAATGCGCGTGTACGTACGCGGGCATATACGTGTGTGCGTCTCCAGCGCGCAGCCGCGTCGCTCACGCGGCATTCACGAGTTCCTCGCCTTGGGCGCAATCCTCCCCGACGCTCACAATGCCGGCCGTAATTCGAAATGAGCGGGATGACGCAGCAGGATCACGGTTATTAAGTTTGACACGCCGTGCTACTTCCAGCTATACGGTTGGACAGCGGGCTGCCATCGGTTAGCTTATACCGACTCGCAAAGAGTGAACGCGAAAGGGCCAACACCTTCTACATAACAAGGCCATGATGCTGGAATTTCTACGTCACACTCCGGCGGCCTGTGTGGGGCGCAGATTCGACACGGGTGCTGCATAAGCGTTTACTCGGTTCGTACTCGTGTTCAGTCGCTGAGGAGACAATTGTTGTATCAGAGGTCGGCTGGGAGTGGTAAGCCGAACGTTGAAAGACAAAGGGGCTTGTCGCGACCTTTCATCACGTTCTTTAAGTTAAATAGATCCCGCAAGATTGTATTTTTTTTTTAGGACGCTTAGAGTGTCTGATTTAAATTATTACCGTCAATGAACAAACTCGAAAACCTCTTTAGTGCTTCTTTAAAGCAAGAATGCGGAAGAAGAACCATGCACTTCTTAACCCCAGAGAGTAGAGATAAAACATACAAGAATACCGCAACATCCCGAAAGATCGCCCACCCCATATTTTTCTTTCTTCCATATTTTCGCCGTCGACGGGCCTTATTTGGGAGTTTATGATAAATATTTTAGTGTTCTCCTGTACAACCCTATTGCCTGGGCTGCCTGAATGTGGCTGTCTTGCCATTTTTTTTAATATCACTGCCAATTTCATGGTGAGCCAGACGTCACGTGCTGTCCCACCCCCCAGAAATAACCAGTTTGCTTATCGGAATCAAAGAGAACGATCATCTCCCAGAAAAATGCCACTTGGCTATAAACTCCCAGTCGATTACGAAAAACGTTGAAGCTAGAACTCACTTTTTCGAGCTCCAGAAGATGAAACCTGAGGACTTGGATTGCTTGCACCATCTGAGGGGAAGAGCAACCGGTGAGGAAGTGTCTCTCGGAAATAGCAAAGACCAGGCATGCACACTCCGCAGCGTCATCGGGCTTCTACTTCGGTCCAGTTACGTCTCATTTTTGGGCAAACGGCAACGAAACGAAGAGTATACGAAACTTGACCGTTCGAAATCTCTCCTGAGATCATGCGCACGAGTTTAACTCGAGTTCGCTCACTTCTTCATGTGCCTCATCTTTAGGTCTAATGAATTTACATCGCTCGCTTGCCCGAGTGAACGGGGGAATGTGACTGTGATCACTTTATGGGGCCCGACGAACTACCGCAAAATAAATTCGCGCTGAGATTCTAAGCCCCGGATTACTCGGGTTCAGACTCCTAACGCTGATCGCATTTATGACTAGATTTCTCCTCTCGGTCGCAACAAACAACTTTCCTATGCCTTGCGTGGACGTAGGTGCGCGAGGACCTTCAGAATGCAGAGCACTGAAACCCGTAACGCGAATTTCACCTTTTAACTGTTTCTCTCATTTCAACACTAAAGATATCTTCGCTCAGTCGAAGAACTTGTTTTCATCATTTGCTAGTGATATTAGCCAGTCCAGCGCTACTGCGACATCTACGAGACTTACTTTTAGGCTGTTTTTTTTCCGAGTGCCTTCGAATATTTTGTGCCCTTAAACATTGTCATGCATACAATTTCAGCTACTCGTCCGTTGCAAGTTGCCTTTTGTACCTTACTATGATACGACAGCTGGTCTAAACACCAGAGGGCATCAACATGTTACCTATAGTAACTTAGCGAACTAAAAGCATAAAGTGAACGCTAAAGCTGCAGCGGCACCGCTCATACGTCATAGAAAACGGAAGACGCAGAGTTCTCCGCAGACATGACGACAAAATTCTCTGCGGATAAATCTCGTGAGAATTATCCGCGGAGAAATCTCAGGCATATATTCGAAGCGTGTTTGCCTCATGTATATGTAGGCTTCGTACATGCCTGCGGAAAGACTTTTGGTATGACCAATGTCGCAGCACCGCCGTACAGAGAAGAAACAGACCTCAGACATTGCAGACTTTTAGGGAACCGTTTTTGCATACTTGATACGGTACGGTAGGCCCTCCGGTACGCACTGCGCATGCGCGAGTCTTCTGCGGTTCCGCATGCGCAGTTCGTACCGGAGGACCAATTGTGCCCTATCGGATGTGCAAAAACGGTTCCCTAAAACTCTCCAGTGTTTCCAGACTGCCTTCTGTATGATTGTACTGGCAGTGCAACCGCGACCTAGCGGTGTACACGTATTGGCACGTCTCACATAACGCTTGTCACAAGTATATATCCACCGATGCCGGAAACACAAACCCAACTTTAACGATGTGCACCAGAAAACTATCAGAGCAAAGGCGTTATGAGCATTATTTCTAAGAAAGCTGCCAATGCCAATACTGTCACGAACATTGTCCCGCTCCTAAACTGCTCCCCCCCCACCCCCGTGGGTTTTTGACGGAAATGGAGCTCATGGCTTTAAACGGACGAGAGAAGCGGTATCTATTCGGCTGTCGCGTGGTCACATAGGTCGGCTGAGGGCGATGACCTGGACTCGCCAGCAATTGGTTAGCATTGGGGCTTGGACGTGAATGCTCGAGTCTGGGTTCCAGCCCCGCCAATTGGTAGCGGAAACCTGTTTGCGAGGAGTGCGTCAGAGCCGTCGTAGTGCGTTGATGATTCCTAGAGAGTTTTTAGGACAGAAAATGCCTTATAAAATCGGTGTTATCAATCACCATTCCCTGCGAAACACTAAAGCGCCGGATATTCCGACTCACTCAAGCACTGTCACTGATGGATCGGGCTGCGCGTGCTCCTATTGGTTAGGGGTGACACGTCACCATTGTTTTCTTCGGCTCATGACGCACCACCATCGACATACGCGTACACTGCGTGCCATTGGTCCGGACTGCCAAACCGGCGACACGCCGCCGTTTGCTCGAGCGCTACTCCTATTGGTCCACGGTGACCGTCGCGGCGACGTGCCGCAGGTGACGCGACGCATTTGCGGCGACGCGCTCCACCATTTTTGTTTCAAGCGTGCTCCGTCATGCAGCACTCTTGACGGTACTTGCAAAAACCAATCTAGTTTCATCCAGCGTCTTATGAAAAACGTGACCAGCGGCCGGCATGGACTTCTGGTTAAACAGTCATCGTGGGCATCATGTCACTAAGTTGCTGGGGTGTGTTTCCGGCATCGCGCGGCACATTTTAATGACAGCAGCACAGGAAGGAGCAGCACTCGGAACAACACAAGAAACACTGACCCCAGAAAACGAAAAGCAAAAAGGGAATTGAAAAGGAATGGGAGGATTTCGGGGAATCTCTCTGGATAAGCGTGTTAATGATACTTACTAGACTGTCTAACTCAGGGTTGGGAAGGTAATAGGGTTTTTCTTGCCTAATCTGAAAAAGGTAAACAAAAAAAGAGGGGGCCGAAAGGGAGAAACGTGGGGGAGAGGGGGGAGGGGGAGAGAGGAAAGAGGAGGAGGAGGCCCGTCGTAAACGTTTTGCACAAAAACGATGGTATACTTACAAGAGAGTCTAACTCCTCATTGGAAGTGTATTGAGGATATTCAGTCATTATCTGAAATTAAGAGAGAAAGAGAAAAAAATTCAAAGCAGAGGTGAAGAAGCGACGCAGAAAAGAAGAAAAAGAGAGAGAAGAAGAAAAAAAAAAAAAGGCGAGCAGAGAGAAATAGCGAGAAGGCAAACGAAGGAAGGTACGCTCTTGGCATATTGAACAGCACGCTCGAGTTCTCGCACACAGACAAAAGAAAGAAGAGGTGCTCGTCCAGTCCTCTTGAAGGACTAGACAAACACCCCCTAGGTGACCGCAGCACAGGGCTTCCTTCGTCACCTACAAGAAATTAAACCCGAGTGTAGCGTCGGCGTTTGGCCCATATGTCCTCGCTTGTTGAGAATGAACATTATCCGAACGCCGACGTGGCACTCGTCTCTAGCCTGTAATTCCGCGCCGGTGTCCGGTTGGTGACGGGGTGCCCCCAAGGGATGTGATGTCACGGTTGGAAAGCATTTTAAAAGTAAACTTACTGACCTGTCGTCTCGTGTGTTATGCGTGATTTGAAGTTAATTTTTTTTTCAATGGTGACTTTAATTTTAGGTGTTATCCAAATATTGATTGCTTGTTCGACGAGTTTTCTGTATTTACGTTGAATCTTTTTTTTTCAAGAAGAGTACGGCGCGTACGCCGGCCCCTCCCTGTGCAGTGGTGAAAGCTCAAACTAAGTTCGGCGTCCGGAATGGGAGTTGCGCTACCTCTCCTCACACGTACTCAAGGAGTGGTGGCAGATTACAAGGCAGACATTCGAGTCGTCGTAACGTACGAGAAGTGAGTTCGATCTGACAGAAGCGACGTTTCGTGACGAGAGGCTCAGTGCGTGGGCACGGCACGTCCTTCCATGCTTTGAGCGCTCGGAAAGAGCAGACGAGAGAGCGAAACAGGAGGGAGACAGAAACCAAGGCTCGACCACACTCGGCACTCTTCGACACGCACAAACTTCAAACAGCACACGACAAAGAGGCAATGATACGCTCATTTCCCGGTCAAGCGGGTACCACCGAACCGAGTATACACTCTAAAAAAAGTCTGTGCGTCTACTTTCACGCACAACACTCAGTGAACCAATCAGGGCAACATGTGGAGGCAGCTCAGCGAATGACAATGCCGAAACATCTGTTTAGACCAAAAAACGAAGACTGAGTTGTGACATCAAGCAATGCAAGCGCGACGTTTTGCATTGCTAAATGTCAGAACTCAATCTGCGTTTTGTGGTCTAAACAGATGTTTCGGGCATCGTCATTCGCTGAGCTGCCTCCGTAAGTTGCGCTGATTGGCTCTCCGGGTGTTTTGCGTGAAAATAGACGCACAGACTTTTTTTAGAGTGCATGGCATAACGGCCATCCCTCAACAAAAGGCTCTCCATACACCTCTATACACCGGATTAAGTCCGAGAGCTGCCAATTAATTGAGCCAATCAAAGAATCCAATCGGGCAGCCCCAAAAGTGCATCGTCACGGCACCCGTCGCCTTTGTGCGTTCGCCATCGCCGACTAAACCAATCACTCGCAGTCAATGCGGCGTGATTGGTTACGAAAATGCATAGGGGAAGCAAATCGGCCTAGAAGGCCGAAGGGCGGAATCATACTTTTGGTTTTTAGTTTGTAGGCTAGCTGGCGCTAGCTACCGCCCGGTATAAAGGATTTCAGCCGTTAGCATCAATCCATCCATTAAGCAGCCGCAATGCTGCGATGCGCTTTTTTCTCTATTTTTTTTTTCCTGTAGATGATTAATTTAGCTAGTAATAGTAAACCCGCTAAAAAAAATCGAGCGACGTGAAGATGCATTTGTGGCGCCGCTAGAGGTAAACGTAATTAATTATAAAAGAATTTTTTTCTTCTTTTTTAAGAAGTTTGTGGGTGTTTGACGTTCAGCACGATATGTGTATTATACTCCTCGTAATAATCGTAAATGGTAGCAAGCCTTCAAGAAACTGTGCTGGCAAAAGTCCCTTTCTTCTTTTTTTTTCTCTCTTTTTTTCAACCAAAAAGCTGAGAAAATGCTTACAACCCCTGCAAGAAGAGCGTGCTGGGCTCAAAGGCTAAATCAAGGGTACGGTTTCATCGAGCGAGAGTGACCAGCTCGATTATGTCTTAAGTATTGCTACTATTTCGACTATAATGAACGTCAATGGCTACACACAGACATCAGACGTGGCTGTCGAATACATACGGTTTCACGACAATTTTTGGAGATCCCAAAAATAGGGTCTTCGGAATTTTTTTTTTATTATTTTAACTTTTAAAAAGACTGTCACGTGATTTTAATCATGCATATTTAAGCACTTGGTGAAATTTGACCCCTAAAATGACATTGTTGAAAAAAACATACATATCTAGGCTAAAATTGGTTTAAAAAAGAGAGAGAGAGAAAAAAAAGAGGCAAGCACTAAGCATCAGCTCCGAATCAGGCAGTTCGGTCCACCTCAATAGTAAACACCTTTTTTTTTTTTTTTTTCTGCTTTATATGAACATTCTGTAAACTTAGAAAAGTGAGCATACGTAAAACATTCTGCGTCTTTCCGACGACATTTGCCAACACCCCGGCCCTTCGCAACGATACTTCACTGCTGCATTTTCTACTTCACCTAGCGGATGCATTGCTGTCGGAAATGAGAAGGCCTTACAGTCGGGTCTATGACGTCACCCAGCGGAGGCCAACTCGCATCCAATGAGCGCCCAGCGTTGGCCTCCTATAAATGACGTCACGGATCCGACCAATATGGCCTTCTGATCAAGGAGGACTTGCACCGTCAGGCACACACTAGTGGTACACTCGGCGAAACACGGCGGGCGTCCGTGCCACTGCCCCCGATCCTTTTATTTGACAAATACGTCGGGAGGACATATCTGTAACTGGGCGCGCACACTGCATGCACGCCCGCATGCACGGGTACGTGCTGGTTAAAAGGGGCGTTTATTTAGCCCAGTGGGGCACAGCGGGACTCCAACAGCCCTCCGCTCCCCGGACCGGCTCGTCCAAACCACCCTCCGATTGACCCCTGCCGGGTCCCAGCGGCGGGGGGTTCCCGAGCACCGCGGATTCAACGCTATCAGACCTCTGCGGACGTGTCAACTTGCTGTCCGACCCTCGATCGAAACAAGCCATGTACGGAGAGCAACTGAGGGGAGAGGAGGACACGAGAACTCGAGGGAACGTCAGAGTGGATAAGTTCCGACGACAGAGCGGGCAGTTCTGGTTCCACTTTAGCAAAGCGTTCACTTTCCTAAAGCGGAAAAGTCAATTGGAAGGACATGTGGGGGGGGGGGGGGGGGGGGGGGGGGTGCAAATGTTGTCTAAGGCTTTATGTTGTTGTTGTTTCTTTCGTGCCGATAAGCGTTGATAAAGTATCATCTAAGGTCATTTAAACAATTCGACCTTGCAAGGTGTGCATCTAAAAAGGTTACAAGTTTTCTTCGGCAGGTGGGTCACCTTGTTTTTTCCGCAAGATGAACGGTTTGCGATGATCAAAAGTTTTCTTGTTCTGGCATATTTCTGTTTTATGAAAACACGCGAGCTTTTCAAAGAATGACTTGTGATTTTGTTTTGTTTTTTCCCAACGGCCATTGCGTCGGGGGGGGGGGGGGGGGGGGGAATCAAGTGATCGCTACGTTATGCTGTTGAATTTCACAGCACAAATGCCTGCAACCAAAATTATTACCGACGCTTTTCTCGTTGCAGTGCTCCAGAAACTAGAATCCAGAAAAACTAAAAAAACTAAAACCGCGACTGCAAAAAAGCCATATGAAAAATATTTTTGCATTTGCATGACACCCTATGATGCAAGGTTATAGGACGTCCATAATTGTGCACAAACTACGTACTTAGTGGAAAGCTTACTCGAACCTTGAGTTCTACGCAATTTTAAACTAGCCAAGACAATGGTGGCAGCCAGAAATATTATTCTGCAGGTAAATGTTGAAAGAGTGACTTTACTCCGTGACTAAATGTCGCACAAGGGGCACCTCCACGTCCGTCCCGACGCTCAGACAGGTAACTGTATACCAACGCGCATTTGTCACGTCGAATGGACTCCAAAAGCAACCTTTTCCGAGCCCACATGACTGGCATTTGTCGCCGCGCTAAGCGAGTCCTAAGGAACTCAGCCAACGTTTCTCTTGGGGAACGCCGGCTGCCATTATGAGGCTTTACTGGAGGCTTAGTCACTGGCAGGAGAAAAACGACAGTGCGTCTCTTTGGTACAAGCGAAATACTTCCCCGACGTTCTCGTTCTGTCAGCTCTTGTGGATTGCGTGCTTTGACTTGACATTCTCTCCCTTCAGGGTAGGCTACATAATGTTAAATCCAATATCACAGAAGACGCGGGCCTTTAAAGACACTCATTACTTTCTTTTTTATATATATACACCAACTCTACCCTCCGACTTCACGCCGATGCGGTGGTGCTGCTGTCGGCACTGCGCATGCGCAGCTCACGATAATCTGGTCTGGTCTCTGTGCACTCGCAGTGGCCACACCTCGTGTGGGCAAACACAGACTCGTCTGTAAACATTGGTGTATGTGATTTGTTTAATTACTTATTTATTAACCCTCAAGGTCACGAGACATTAAAAGTGGATTGGTAAAAACCAACGCAAAAAACATAATAATAATAAAATAAAACTTTACGACTATATGGCGGGTTGTCGTGGACGGAGACGGGAAGGAACTTGCAAGATGGGTAGAAGTAGGGAGCGGGAGTTTGTGACCGGCCACGCAATGTCTTCCCGGTACTGTCGAACTCGTGCAGCAGACGCAGACGAAATTCCAAGGTGCGGTGTACCCACACATCCCAGATAACGAAGTTGTAGTATATAGTGCTAGATTTCCTCCAGCACTACGACACAGTCGTCCCGACATATCTGTCAAATAAGGATCAGGGACATCGACACAAATGCCCACCGCGTTTCGCCGAGCGCCACGTGTGTCTGTGCCCGTGAGCGCCTCCAAGAGGGCTTTTTCTCTGGATGTTCTAACGAAAGAGCGTGACACAGAATGGACACTAGTGCTTCGTCAGCGTTCGTCTGGGCATCGTGTCGTCGCTGACTGAACACGAGTCCTTGCTGAACGCTGACGCGACTCTCGCGTCCGTTCGGTGTCTAACGTTGGCCTTCTTACGGCGACACCCAAAATTCAGTACTAAGGTTTTGTCATCCATACATCGTTTCACCGTAAGTCAGAGCGAAGTCGACGGTACATACAAGCCGATAGGGCCAATCTAAAAATGCCAAAATTATGAACACAAACAGCGCAAAGGACAAAGACTAAGGGTACAGAACGAGTGCTGACTCACTGTCCTCATCCTTTACTCTGTTCGTTTCCACTATATTTAACCAACCAGCCCACCAGTAAATTTTGTCCAGGAATCTGTCGCCTTATTGCGTGTCTGCCATCAAGAGTCAACCAACCTAGGGCAGTGGATGCATCGTGACCTTGCGTTTATTAGTATGCGTTCCTCCTTTGTACGTTTTCTAGCTTTTACTGCACTCTTACGAATGGTGAAACAAAGTATAGGAAGCGTTTGTTGAGCGTACCGTTACTGCACGAGAAAAGAGGGCTTTGGAGTGACCAAATACTTTACTACGGAATACGTCTTAAGCGCCGTTCACACTCTTGCGACCGAGAGAGACCAGACCGGTTTTTAAGCCTTTTGCGACTTCTTAAGCTGGTCCTAAGAGATTGCAAGAGGCTTAAAAACCGGTCTGGTTTCTCTCGGTCGTACTCGGTCGCAAGAGTGTGAACGGGCCCTTACTCCTCAAAAAATTCAACGGCCTTGAAGCCGACAGCCTTTGCGTAGTTAGTGCAGCTGGACGTGTTCAGTCTCGGGGTTTTCCCCTTTGAATTGGTAGGGGTGGCTGCCGCCGTCTAACGCCCGGTACAGGTTGAAACAGCGGAGACAGACGTCTCTGCAGTCTCGGCGAATCTGGTACCTCGGTGCGTCGGTGCGGCAGCCCTCTCCCTCGGCGCAGCGGGAAAGCGCGACAGCGTGGACAGCGCTATGTGCGCGCGTTCTCTCGTATACGCTGGCTGTTCACACCGCTAGGGGAGGATTTGGCACTGCATGCGCGCTTTCTAATACAAAGAAGCGGAGTAGAACGTAACCCCTAGTAAAGTGCTTGAGGCGCGGCAACGAAAGGCTCAAGAGAAAGAGAAAGAGGGAGTCTGAACCTGCTTAGCAAAGACAGCGATGTCCTCGTTGAAGGATTCGGATGAACAGACGTCGCCCCCCGCAATGCCCGGCTCCCTCGGTGTGCAGGTGGCCAGTTCGCACTTCTCGAAGATGAGAGCCAGCAGCGGGAACAGTGGGTGTCTGCACAAACACGCACAAGCATTCGTTATTGAGAACGCTTCAAGAGCACCGCGACGCTCGCGCGGACAATCGATATTCACGCAAAGGCGTCGTGCCCATCTCCAATGGCCCTAATCTGGACACTTGGCGGAAAAGTGGGCAAGAAAACCGGTGGCCGTGATATGCCGGCGCCTCACTTCTAGCAGCCGGCCAACCACAGCCACCGGATCCCTCGCCGATTTGTTTCGTCAAATGTCCAAATCAGGGCCCCAAGCAGGCCTAAATAGTAGACCCTCTTGCACAAAATCCTCAAAGACTGCGCGTGAAGCGCGATACGAAGTATGGAAATAGTGTTTCCCTTGGTAGAAAGCAATACAAATCAAGCATGCCACTATCCTACTTCTATATAAAAAAAATATTTGAAGCATAATTTTAGTATAACTAAGTGTTCTTCTATTCTACGTTTAGTTTACTTCGTATCTTAGCGGTTTGATCCACGCTTCGATTCTGTCTGGCAACTAACCTGTCCCTACTAAACGAGTATGTTTCATATTCTATTAGCCATGAAAAATATACTAGGGTATGAGCATATTTTGCGAAGTGTTTAATAAAAGTACGACATGAGTGCACTATTCCAGTAATGCTTTTGACCAGGGGACAGGTTTCACGAACATTGCAATTTCTACCAATTCACTATAATTTTTTTTTAACGAATGATTTCATTATGACCGCAAGGGTCAGTTGTCGAGTGCATTCAAAAACAACTCCATTCAATATTTATTTATTTAGTTTGGGATTACGATTATTTTTAGCTAAAGCAGTGTCCTTGAAATATAAGGTTTTTTGGGTGTTTTTTCTCTTCACGAGATTGTGCGTAGTCTTATAAATATCACGGCGAGGGAAGGCAAAAAGTGGAGAGGACATAGGGAAGGAAAAGGCGGGCAAAAGTAGAAAGCGTGAGATGTACGCCGGCCTTTGAGTTCGATAACAGAATTCGCGGGAAAACAAGCTATAGTAGTCCGCCCCTAATTCAGATTTCTTGAAAAGTGTTTCCCTTTAACTTTCTGGTGTCTAAATCTAGATATATAACACCATTACTTCCACGGGTGTTTCGCCAAGACGACTTTTTCCCGGAGACAGACCTCGGAATGAAATAATATTTTCTCCGCGTAATGAACGACGTATTTCCAACGCAACGGCGCTCGGCCTAAACGAAAACTGCGTGCCACGGAGCAGCCCTATAAACCCCGACCGGTCCTACCCCCCCTTACGCTGACAGTGCGCTGGGAGCTAGGCGTTCGCCGGACCGACCGAGCGCCTCCCTTTCATCACCTGACTCCACTCCTTCCGCGCGATCACGTGGCGAAATGCAGCCGTGCGATTGGTTGGACAACCACGTAGCTTCCACCGCACTGTCAGCTTACGGGGAGTCCACGAAGCATAGCAGCAACGCGTCGTCCGTTGGGCGAACGATCCGTGTCGGGCAGGGACGAAGCGCGCGCGGACCGTCGCTCCACCACGTGGCTCGCGAGGCTTGGCGCGCGAAAAGCTCGCCGTTGTGGATGCGCTCGAGGTGTGAGAGCCTCATTTGCATAACCGCGCGTCCAAGTGTACCAGCGCCGTGCGCCCGCGGACAATGGAAGCGGACACGCGCCGCTGGCAGCTCGTTTATAGCCGTCCTAATAAGAACGGGGGGGAACGTCGCTGTAAAGCGCGAACCATACGAGCGCCCGGACGGACCGAGATCGAACTTACGGATGGTAAGTTCGCGGGGCGTCTTTTTCGATTGTGCGGCCTCCGGAACACCGCTCGTCGCCTTCCGACGTGCTTTGTTAGGAGTAGAATGGCAACCGGCGTCTCTTTCGGAAGCCGCGAGCTGCAGCCTCCGGCACGCGATCCTCGCCTTCTGTCGCGCTTTGGCATGCGCGCGCGCACACTCGAAGCTCACGATCGAGACGACGAAGTGTTATCGAAGGTATATTGGAGGCTCGCACTGTCGTTCTCATCCTTCCCGTGACTATGGGTGTAAAACTGTCTTGTTCCAGGTTGTCGAGGCCAGAGTATAGTTTCAGCATGCAGCGCTCCAACGCAGTAAAAGCTAACCTGCGCGAGCGCGTGGATTCGTTCGGCTTTTGGTGTTTGGCTAAAGAGACGCCCAGCACTGTGGGAAGTACGCTAGTTGCAGGAGAAGCGCTAAAGTAGACTCACTCACCCTCACACTCACACTCATACTCACACCAGAAAAACGGTCACTCACGTCGCGCTGGTGTGAGTGTGAGTGTGAGTGTGAGGGTGAGTGAGTCTACTTTAGCGCTTCTCCTGCAACATGAATATCCAACTCGCCCAAGCATCCATTCTAAGAAGTACGCTAGCTTCCGGAACGTGACAAAAAAAAAAATGTATATCTAGGAGAGGGGGGGGGGGGGGGGGGAGCAAAGGGGCAGACGCAGATTTGAGAAAAAGCTTTGTCAGCCCTGCGATCAGGCCTGGTTTTTGGAAGGTCGATTGCCGTTTTTGGGGGTAACAGTCTCTGCACGTCACTTCCGAAGAACGGTTCCAGTGAGCTCTGCGCATGGTTGGCTTTAACGTCGGCGTTGCATAAGTTGCGAGCGTATTCAACGAATGTGTGTGCGGACGGGGGTCGTGCTTAAACGGGGTTGCTATGTGCTTCGTAAGACGAGGTCATTTACGTGTTCAAAGGATATGAAGTAGTGTAGGCTTCGTGCGTCTGGAGGCCTGTACTATACCTCTCAAGTTTGGAGAGCGCCTCTGACGAGCAGAATCGAATATTTCTCGGTCACGTTTCGGTTTACAATAACAAAAAAGCTACATTAAAAAAAAAAAAAAAAAGAGGTCTTGCATTTTTTGTTCTGTTTATTTAAGGTTTTTTTTTTTTTTTTTTTTTTTCAGACGCTTTTTTACTGCGCGTAAACAGATGCTGAAGCACGCTTGCAAACGACCGTATAGACATTTTCCACAGGGGCGCCGCCATCTTGAATTGTCGTCACTTCCAGTATGGGTGACGACAGAATAGGAAAACGTTTCAACCTGTAACTAGCAAAAAAATAGAGGGGAGCCAAAACGAAAATGGGTGACGGTTACGCTGTTCTCCTAAATGCCTTCTATTGGCGTGGCGACGGCAAAACAATGTTTTCGCCCATACTGGAAGTGACGACAATTCAAGATGGCGGCGCCCCTGTGGAAAAGGTCTATAGCTTGTGTATGATCGAACGCTTCAGCGGCACTTAATGTTCGATGCGGGCATCACGTGATCGCGTCTTATACGGGCGCGCTCGCGTCCCCTGGTCGAGAGACACAGGCCTATATATGTCCACCAATATAGCCATCTTTTTATATCTAAATTTTTTTTATCAAAACATACCGAACAACATGAATTCCCTGCAGAAGAGAGTCAATGTATACCGACGAATATCATTTACTTAACGCAGCAGGTGTTTTTATAGTACGGCTCTGACGTGACAACGGAGAAACACTCTAAAATTATCTAATGTCCTTAATACGACGTCGGATACATTACGGCCGGTGTACAGCACCGTGTGCACAGCTGCGGAAACGTGCGACCTGGGAGCGTGGCCAGAAATTGCCGGAAAACGAAGCACAATAAAACCAGTTCGGAATATATGAAGCAAATAAGCGCGCTTGGCGAGTATACGCTTATTAAAATATGCACGGAAACAAAAAAAAACAAAAAAAAAACGACAAGTGAAGGTATACGACATTAAAAGCGAACGTACAGTATCTGCGAAGTCTTATGAAAATAGTGATACAGAAAACACGAGCGAACGCTCTAGTACTTATGGATTTTTATTTGTATATTGCTCCTTCTCCTAAAGTAGTTTTATTATTATTTATTTTTTTTACTACTTTACGGGAGGACGGGCGTAATATACGCTTCGCGGAGGGAGGGAGGAGGGGGGAAGAGTGGGGGGTTGGGGGAGCCCACTTCACACGACACGGCAAACTTGGGGCGTACAAATGTTCCTCATTTGCAATTCAGCAACTGCAGGTGCCTCTTCATCACGACGCGAAACTTCGCTCTCGGCTTCTTCTTTTTTTTTTTCCTACTTTTGAATGTTTTGTTTTTCGTTTTTCTATTAGCTTTTTGTGTGGGATTTTGTCGCACGTGCTGTCGTATGGTTCACACCTCGGAACTAGAGGTAGGCGCTTTTCTGAGAAGTAGGGCAGATATCAAGTTTGTTTTCCATTTATTTTAATTTGCTCCATATACCTCTTCTGCTTCGTCTGCTCGACGATAGTGGGATTGGAGTCACCGTGGATGATAAATCGGTTCCCTTTTATTTTTGTTATCTTTTTGCTTGACATGGGCAAATGGTACATACATCCTTTTCCCCACAGAAAAGTGTAAGTGAAGCAATTAAAACTTCGTTTATTAAGGAGTAGAGACAAAAATGCTGTGTTCACCTTTTATCGATCATCGTGCAACCAAACGACATAATATCACATAGAATGACGAGGCACTACATTATCTTTACAACCATCGATTGTGGCCTAAAATGATCATTTAACAATGAAGAACTTAAAAGAGCCAACTGAAAGGTTAGAAAAATCAGGTCAAATTTGATTAATTAAGTATATATCATCAATTATTGCAGCCGAAAGTCAGACTTTCTTGGAAAAAGGTTGGAAAGCGTTAGTACGCGTCAAGGTGAAAAAAAGTACCCAAGCTGCGTAAAACGAAGAACTTGAACTCGATAAAACTTTAGATTGGGCGAGTCGGTTGTTCATGTTGGCCGGCGTCACACCGCACTCAAAATGTATACTTTGAATTCACTGTCCGGATTGTTGGTGTTCGGCGCATTTCAACGTCAAACTTGTCAACCAACTAACAAGGGAAATTATCGAGGCCGAGAACATCATACGACTGGAGGACAAATGAATCAGTACGCCGTCTATAATATTGTCACAAAAAGAGATTACGGTAATTATCTAGCCTCAATTTTGCCTGGCACTAGAAATAAATGTTTCCATTTCTATTTTTC